GGGGGGGGGGGGGCTGAGGGTGAGTAGTGAGTAGATGTCAGGTGTCAGAACAAGAAGCACTTTCACTGGGATAATGGTAGCTTCAGCACATGATTGTGAAATTTGCTGACAACAAGTTGTTGCCTTGTTGCTAGTAGTAGTACGTCCRTTAACTGTTTCTCAACCGGTTTGTACCTGTTTGTACCCCRAAATTTTCAACTCGCAACCTAAAAGTTTTATTCCGTACCACGTCCAGTACAAAAAAAATTAAGCATGTTACATCCCTTTTCAACAGATTGGCCCACAAATTTAGAAAACTCCTCCCTCTATTCCTCATTGGACTCATTCAATTTAATTGGAGTTGATAGCAAAAAGCCAAATCTACAATTCCCATGAAAACTGGCCAGCTTGTACAAGAGATGTTGGGGAGGTTGGCAAAATATTGGCAGGAAACCCATAAATACTGGAAGGACTCAAATTTAGCCAGATCGGTGTTCACACAAAAAAAACTTCAAACAGTTGAAAAAATCAGTTGGACAGGCTGGCTTGACCACAATTCTTTTTGCCAAGAGAAAGGCAACAACAACCTCCATGATAATGGGCTTTGACAATTTGTCCRTTGGCAATTAAGTTGGTTTTTTTCTGAAACCACTCCAACTTTCATCCAAAACAGCAATGGCACCCAACACGCGTTCTCAGATAGTTGTTTCAAACAAATTGTTACAATGTTTTCTGAACATTTACACAGAAACAGTCAAAGAAAGGTTGTTGCCATAATATCAGACTCTTAGTTGTCTGARCAACATCTTATTGTCAGATACTTTTTCAAGCATATATCAAAACAAAGATCATCTTCCCATACCATGGCTAATGAGATTGGACAAGATAGGCACCTTTGGAGACTCCTAGATCAGGGTAATACTGAATCACAGATTAGGCTTATCAAATYGAAGTGAATTGATAAGTAACATATTTAGTGTTTYAGATGAGGCTTTTGGTGTTCTCCTTCTACACAACGAATATCATGTTTGGGTGAACCACATTGAAAGATTGTTGGACAAGAGCATCCCAAAAAGTAAAAAAAGATATTGCAATCCAAAAAGTGGACGTAGTGAGGGTTGGAGCAAAACAGGAAAATAATTGTTTTGACATCTTTGTCAGGAAATTGAATCACTACAAAATCAACCACAAYCCAGCAAGGTTTTGGAGGAGTCGCTATGAAAAAGATTTTTGCTGGAAGACAGTATCATTGACGTCAATAGCTATGATGGTAAGAACGGTGAGGAGGAGTCAGATGACAATGACAAATGCTACATCGACCCATTGATTAGGGATCAATGGAAAAACAACCACGGCAAATTGGAATGCACACAGGTTGAGGGGGTTTAAGGATTATCTGCAGTAGTAATTCTCTTTCTCTCATGCCTGAAAACCTTGGCCCCAGTGGTGCCAAATGCATTAACACTAAAATAAAAATTTAAACTAATGGTTGTGAGAATGCATAAAAATGGTAGCCAAAATTTATTAAAAAAGAATGGAATCTAATGAACCTAAAATGGTGTCAAAAAAACAAGTGCATTAATCTCGCCAGACCTTTCGAAAGAACCAAACGTTTAATATTTAATTGAAATAATCAAAAATGTGATTCAAAAGCTTGTACCATATGATTCTAGCTGTGCCTGTTGAGAGAACTTTACATTTAAAATTTAATTCAAAAAATCAAAAACATGATTCGAAAACTTGTACCATGGGATTCTAATGTACTGCAAAAACATGAACTCAACCACACCAAAATAGAATTGAAATAAATTGGAAAATTACTTGATATTTAGACCATGGAATTAAAAAATACAATTTGCACTCCCAATATGCAAACGTGACTCCCAATATGCAAACGTGAATAAAAATAAATTGGCACCACATGACTTGACATTTTGACAGCAGCCATTCCGTAACTTTCAAAATTAATTCTCAACCCAAGAGTCATCGAATATATTTTTTTAAATTAATTGACAAGTGAGGTAGGAAATCCAGTCGGGATTTGCAACCCATGTGTTATTTTCACTCACAAAATATGTTCATTCAGGGGTTGAGAATAAGTACAAACCCCGGAAATTTACAAAAAAAAGGGGTCAAAAAACAGTTAAGGGACGTAGTAGTAGTAGTAGCAACATCATGAAGGAAGAGCAGTATTGGCCAAGCATTATAAGTGCAACATTGGATGCTATTTTAGGTCAATATGTTCATCGAGAATTTATTTCCTCTACATCGACTGACATCAAGACAAAAATTCCATAGAAAAAAAAAATGGTGTTGTTTGACAACATTTCATGATGTGACATGGAAGTATTTTACAAGGGAAAAAGAAGATAGCCCGTAATCTATGGCTGGATTGTAGATCTGCTGGCGTAGATCTTCTGGCCAAGCCTATGATCAAGTTTTGTGAATGTCACTTGGTATTTAATAAACGAGCAATCTGGCGAGCAAGAATTGTACCGTACAAATAGTACTTCCTCCAGTCCGCTAAGAGTGTCCAGTTTGCACCATTTCTAATGAAATAAGCTCAATATGAGAGCGATTTGAATGGTTCTTTTCTCACTTAACAGATCCAATACAGTAGCATAGACATTTGTATATAGCATTAAGTATTAGGGTACTATTAAAGCACAGGCTACATCTATGCAAAGAGGGTCTTTTTTGGCATATCAATGTGATTTTACCGTCATTTGGCTTCTGGCTGGCATTTAAAGACCCCAAGTGCAGCTATAGAAAGCTAAGAGTGAGAGCTTTAATATGATATACTTCTCGTACTCATTGAGAATGTTCTTATGCAGTCATAGTGGGTCACTAGTAATGGAGCCAAATATTGCTCGGGCACTTATTTGGGCGCATGCAGTTTTCATGTTTTCATGTTTTTTTTTTTAATTTTGAGCTGGAGAGAGGAATCGAAGAGAAAAAAAATGCTGTGCGCATGGTCCAAAAATGCTCCCCGTGTGATTTTCACATGATAAATTTCACTATTGATTCACTCACACCTCCCAATTTCCTCTTTCCGACTCCTTTCTRTCACTTTGCTCTGCCCATTCAACTGACTAAGACCAGCTTCTTTGCTATCCAAGCCTTCTTCTTTGCACCTCAAGTAACTCATCGACACTGAGCCTACACCCCTCCACTACGCGCCTCTTTTTGCACCTCAACTGACTCATCGACCRGTCCGCGTCTCCGTTGAGCCATCCAGCATTGCTTCCACTAAGAGCAGGGAATCGCGTCTCCGTTGCTTCCACTCCTCCTCGGCTGGCGTCTCTGTTGCTTCCACTAAGAGGGGATCCATCGACTCGCTGGCGCCTCCYGCCTCCGTTGCCTCCACTAAGAGGGGGAAGCAAATGACTGGCTCGCCAGGAAACAATCCTCTGACTCCGTTGAGCCAACACGTCTCCATTGCTTCCACTAAGAGGGGGGACTTGTGTCTCTGTTTAGTGGATCCATCTCCGTTGCTTCCACTAAAGGGGATCCATCAACCGGTTTGCGTCTCTGTTGAGCCAACGTGCCTCCACTAAGAGGTCGCGCCTCCGTTGCTACCAAATCGACAATCAACCTGATGATGGTTCGTCTCTTTGTTGCGGCTTGTTTTTTGCTCCTTTTAACTCACTTTTCCCCCTTGATCCTTTCTAAAGCAAATCAACAGCAAGATGGTGATTGACGTGATGGCGCTCCTTGAAGCTGGTGCAAGCAATACTGGTGCAAGCGATACTGGTGCAAGCGATACTGGTGCAAGCAATACTGGTGCAAGCGATACTGGTGCAAGCGATACTGGTGCAAGCAATACTGGTGCA